CCCCAAAACCCCAAAACCCCATGATCAAAGTATTCGAGGGAAAATTTAATAGAAATAATATTATTAAGTATATTATAAAGTTAAAATTATGAGGATTTTTGTGGCAATATAACTTCACGTTTCACTCTTTATATTAAATAATCTGAAAAGGTTTGTAGAAGCTGACTAATTTGATCCAACTTTTGTGCCAATCATCCCTGAAAGTATCTTAATCAAGAAGGATATAAGAAATCTAATAGTACAGGAGAATGAGATAATGAATTTGGATATGGGTAATTATTATGTCGGTAGCTTATTAGACTATTAGCTTGATTGTATTAACCTCGAGCATAATGACATCAGCTATGACATTCAACAATTAATAAGCATTTAAAAGCCTTTTAAAGTTGACTATTCAGAGTTTTTCATTGACACTCAGATATATGAGCCTTATAGAGAGCCTTTCAAAAGATCTTCAATTATAGTTCTTGATGATTATGGTCAACAAAATTATGTCATTTTTTTAGACAGAAACCTGACTTTGCATTTTTTGAATAACTAGCAGTTTTCTTCCAATTTAATATATGAAAATCACCCTTCAATGAGTTTAGACAAGTCTATAATAAACGATACATGCGCTGACATATTACTTAAGTAAATTTATTTGAAAGAGTCGCTTCTTATATTTTGCAGGAGTAAAGTTCACTCTAAAAATGGTGATTATTTATAGCATGTTTACGCAACAGTGGTGATTCAAGAATTCTTGTCTAATCATCCAAAGATTAGATATATTCTTTACAATTAAACTACTGTTATTTAGGATCATCCTGCAGGATTAAGATCAATCGGTGCTATATTTCTTTCTTTATCTGATGCAATATTTGTAGGGATGACTGCTGAAAATGGCAGACTTAAACTATGCTTATTTATTTATCACAATAAAATTGAGGAGGAAATGATACTTAAAGATGAAACATATAGAATAGTCAATTAAAAGGATCTACTAGAAGTTTCAGCTTACATAGACTTTGATGAGGAATTCGAAAGAAGAGAATTGATAGATATGATGTTTCTTCCAGGTTTAGAAGATTAACAGCTTGTTTTTTTGTTTGAGAATATGATCATCATATGTCCTGTTCCTAAGACTATCTATTTACCATCAATGATAATGTAAAGAATAAGTTGTAACTCAGATAATGGTGAATTAGTAAACTCAACTAATGGGGTCTCACTTTATCAGAATCCCTAAGATTCTAATTATTTCTATGTGGCAAATTCTATGCCACCCTCTGTTATGGAGATTGATAGGAGAGATAGCCAAAATGTGTTTCCTACAAAGATTTATAAACCACCTAATGAGGAATCAATTAATGTTGGTCTATCAACTATGGCTACAAATAATAACTATATTATTCATCTAATACAAAATGTATAATCTGGTAAGTAGATCCTTCGCTTCTACAACAGAAGAGGAAATAGATTTGAATCAGTTAAATTTGATTATTACTTAAACGAAAACGATAGGACGAACTTTTTTTATTTTCCCAATTACTACTTCAACATACTCTAATATAGAGATGAAAATAAAGTAAACCTGACTAGTTTTTTCGACTATAGAATAACTATTAATGCTTAGAATTCTACATTGGTAAGGAAATATGAAGAGACTATCTTTGCTTGTAAATTAGATATAAGAAATAAGTTTAATCACCTTCAAAGAGAATTCAATCTAACTTTTGTTGGGGAAAACTACACAATCATCCATTCAATTAAGGGATTCAATAACAATTCTTTAATTAAATAAGACATCATTTACAACTGTGGAGATTCTAGGTTTTCATATGATGCAGATAACTTCTTCGTTGGTCCTAACTTTGGACTAGAAGTTCGAGTAAAGCATGATGATAATTGTAGCAGTGGAAGTTGTTATTTCAAAGTATAGAACACACTTTTTGATTATAATTTCTTCTCTAATGCACCTAATGAAAACTGTACTGACGCCTTCATCTTTCCTTCACTAAAGGATCCACAGGAACTAACAAGTCCATTTATTTACGTTTGTACCAATATGGAATAAAACTATATTAGTTCCTTTAACTTAAGCAGAGAAACTGATCCAAACTATTTGATATTAACAAATTAAATAAGCTTCAACCCTTTAGACATGTTCGATTATCACTATGATCTAGACGACAGAGCAATTTTTAATATTGTAATTGCAAACGAATGGGCAACAAATTAAGTAATGATATTGTTCTATGAGATTGAGTCATTGCTAATTTGGAGATCTGCTTAAAATGTAACAAATTTAAAAATTTTTAAGGAGTATGATGATATTTTACATATCCATTATAATTAAGATTTAAATTATGGAACTGTTCTAAGTTAATATGGATACTATCTTGCTAACGATTCCTATTGGTAACAAATTCTAGTCTTCAAAATAAACTTTACAATACCTGAGTTATAAGAAGTTGTAACACATAATTTTTACGTACAAGGAGCTCAAAGGTAATCTTAGGCAGCATTATCTTCAAATGAATTTTTATTTACTTTGAATGATGGTGGAGTAATTAACATCTATCAGGTATTGTTTGGATATTACTCAAAGAATTTAATTTATTTAAGGAACTATACTTTAAATTACGATGATCTTCAAAGTTTCGACATTTTCGATTAGAAATATCTAGTCCTCTATACCAGCTTCAGAGCTGTTTATGTTTTTGAGATTTCAAATTAGATTTACATAACCTATAAAATGAAACTTCCTTTATATGAATGGTATTCCTAGGAAAAATTTCATATTTAGAAGTGGGCGATAAATGCAATAACATACTCATACTATAAGGGTTATCTAGCTATTCTATATGAATCAGAGTTTAATGATAAATATCAAAAGACAAATGTTCTTGTTTATAATATAGCAACTGATAACTAATTTAGCTCATTAGTAATAGCATAAGATTTCAGTTTCATTTATGAAAACGGTACCAATAAGGATATTATAATGTTCGGAATGGGCAATAAAATAGGAGCTGTACTCATTTCTACAAATAAAGTCCTTGCATTGAATGTTGAATTAAAACCAAGAATAATGCTAGCGATTGGTATGAAAGCTAATGTAATAAAGAAGTGTTCTTAACTAAAGCATTTAGTATAATCAACTAATTCAGACTTTGATCGAGCTATAATTATTTCAAATCTAAGCATTAATGCAATCTCCTTTTTCAAAGGTTTTTAATAAACTGATAAGCTTCTTAAAATAAAAGTATATTCCTACAATGAGGGACTGACCATAACTCCTACTCTAAATAAGGTAGTATCTAAAACATTTTCAAATTCTAAAGGAACTTATGATAGTGAAACTTTGTTACTTCAGGAAATAGTTGAAGGTTATAGTATATCCTTCAATTTAAGCTGTAGCTATTATGATCTTGATTAATAGTTTCAAACTTGCAATTAAAATATCTAAGAAAATACAAAAGATGTCCCTTATAAGTTTTATTTGGAGTTTGTAACTACAAACCGAATAGTTATTAGATCTTTCACTTTAGATAAGTTTTTCTTAGTGTTTGATTCCTAAGGAAATTGGAATTTATTAAGGTTTGAAGATGGAAATCTTGACTTACAGTGGTAAAACGGGAGAGCAATGCAAAACATAGAGACAGGCAGAATCAATGAGACTTTCGGATGCGAACTTGGGAACTATTTTGGAGTCTTTGGCTATCAATATAGCCCCGATTAAAAGATCTTTCTGGCCCTCTACTAGTGTAAGGTTGATGAAAGACTTTATTTGAGATCAGCATTTATTGTAGTATTTCAAGATCTACCGAAACCTGAAGATAAGCACTTAAATGTTATTATTTTCTAAAATCAGTACAGAGTTTCATTTCCAATCATTGATATCTAAGGTGGAGAGATTACTTTAAATTAATCAAGCAAGCTCATGTATACTATGGTTGGTGTTTCCTGCGATATTCCGAATTCTTTTTCCAATATCTTCTATATACTCAACCTGACTCTTCATCTAGACGAATTCAAGATGATCTTAGAATAGAAATCTTGGGCAAGCTCAGTTACATAACTCAAGAATACATATAAAACTGGCAAGTTAGTATCGATTCCGAAATCTAATCTGCTTGTTGTTACTGATTCCGACAATGGTGCTTACATTTTTGATTTAATAACATATTAGTGTATTTGTGAAATTGATGTTGTTGGCGATAATTATTTCAAAGATTAGTATGCATAGTTTATGGGTCCTTTGAAAGTATTTAATGCTTTTGGTGATTGGCCTTATAACATTCATATCTTTACTAACTACGGTATATATATTTACACTTTTGATGTGAACCTTTAAGATAGAAGTTAAGTTTTCCCAGATTACAAGACTAACATGAAGATTAAAAAGAAATTGATTTTGAGAATTTAATTTGATTAACTAGATTCAGGTATCTAGGGAAATGAATATGGCTATACATTTTTGACTAGAGTCAATACCTCACAAAGTACTTATGATACCTATCTAGGCGCAGTTGCATTTTACTCTGGAACATAGTCTAAAATACTAAAACTTGTTAAGCTAGGTACAAACTTTGAGTGTAACTCTCTGAATCATGATTCCTTCTTAAGTGACAGTCCTTATGATTAGATAGCCATAAGTTTTATTTGCAATACTTAGCTCTATGTAGTAAGAGTTTGTACAAGACCACATTTAGAAATAAACTTTGTAAATCTTACTTAGAATGTTTCTAGCAATCCTGACTTAAAAGGTAAAAAAAGCAATGGACCTCTGGATTATAATTAGTTCAATATAACTGTAAGAGCTAGTAACATGTTCAGTTAACTGGATGATAGGCATGATGAAGAAGTAGTGGTGATCTATAACTTTTAAAATCAAATCAATAGTGAAGAAAAGATTTACTATTTATCAAGTTTTATACTTTTGCTTTTGATCACCATATTTTTGATTATATTCAATTATCCAGCTTTAAACAAAGCCAATGACCTTAATGGAAGTTTACTTAAACACTTCAATCTAAAACAAAGCTTTCTTACGGAGAATGAAGATTCTAAATTTAAACGTAATAAAGGGAAAAATAAATACGATTTGTACATGATAAAGGATAGACTATCAACTATAAATGCCTAAGAGGAAGGTTAAGAAAATAGTGACAATAAAACCTCACCAAAGCCAAAACAGTCTAAAATAATATAAATAGATTTATAAAGTTAAAAATTGAAGGAAAAATATGCTAAAGAGAAATTAATGCTAAAGAAAAGGAAGAGATTTTCTAGCAAAGCTCCAACAGAAGATGATGATAAAAATAATAGTAAAAATATAGAAGATAAGAAATATCACCTAAATGGGTATGAGTTGTAACAGTACAAACTAAGGAGGATAGATTCATCCTTAGATTATGAAAGTAGTTTTATAGACAGCAGGAAAGATCCTTCAAAGAGTTAAAAGATTATCAAGAATACATAAAAAATATCTGATGAGGTATAATGAAAGGCATTTAGCCAAAAGAAATTATAAGAGATAACTTAAAATTTAAATGATCTGGCCAGATTCATGTATATAAATATATTTGATGATTATTATTTGATTTTAATTTGTTTAAGATTTAATTTCTCAATATCTTCTCTCACGGGGTTTTGGGGTTTTGGGGTTTTGGGG